TTTGGTCAAAGTTGGGCCGGTATTGACCGATATTGACCAATTCCACCTAGATTAACCCTCTAACCCCTATTCGTAGGCAGTTAGAGGCTGTCAAGCGTTTAGGCGCCGATTAATCGGCTGCCTAGACCAATTTTTACAACCATGGACCGTCCTTACAGTTCCATTTTATTGCGTCGTTCGTCCCTATCAAACATAAAAAGACACTTCTTCCCTTTCTCATTCATTTTTTACCTTTAATTTTTTTTTTTTTATGTTTTTAAATAATAAAATAAAATAAAATAAAATAAAAATACCCCCCCTCCACTCCACATTTCATTCTCATCCACCCACTTGATTACATTCTCCAAGTTTTCCCAAATCCTCTTTCCGGCGAGAGACCATCGTTGCTTTTCCGATGATCACCATCACTTTTCCGGCACACAATTGTCGCCTCTGTAACCACCTCTTCTCACCACCCTCACAAGAACCTCATTTCCTCCTTTCCCGTCACCACCATTCAACTTTTCTTTTATTTTCTTCAAATTTGTCTTCATAGACCATTTCAAACCACAACAAACAAATTATCCATCATCTCTCTCCATCGTTCTCTATACTCAATGTGAAACAGAGTCACTGCCACCTCCATCTTGCAACAAATTTCTTCATTTGAAATCTGTCTCTTAGGTTTAAAATAATTGTTTTCCAGAGATTGACGATGTTTGTGAAACCATTGTGTTCCAGAAATTGTTTCATGAAAGCAGTGCATTTAAGTAATCGATTATCGTTTGGGAACCCCACTTATGATTTTGGATTTCACAAATTGATCGCAGGTGGAGAACCGTGTCCACTAAAATCCTTCGACCACCACATCTCTACTCCACTAAGTTTCCTTTTAACCCCATTCTTTTGGACTCGTATTTGATTTATCGGATCTCCATCAGTTTTTTCTTTGATCATCGATTTCTTGTTAGGTTTTGCTTTTTGGATTTTTATTTCCATATCTGGTTTTTATTTCAACTTACATTCTGATTTGATCGATTTGATCTTGTTATGGTTTTGATTTCTATTTTTAAGTTTGATTTTTGGGATTTGATCTTGGGTTGTGACCTGATGAAATCGATTATGTAGTTGTAGTGGAGCTAGAATCAGTTGATGGTCATGATTTTGGAATCGATGGGTAGCGTTTGTCGATGGTCAGTGGCCAGTGGTGGTTATCATTAGCCGGTGGTGGTTGTTGGTGGTAAAAAAGGTAAATAAAAAATCGAATTGTTGAAAAATAAAATTAAAAACGAAAATAAATAAAATATATATATATAAAACGAAAAATAAGTATATATATAAAAAAGAAAAGAAATAAAGTATATAAAAACAAAAAGTAAAGTTAAAAATCCATGTAGTGTAATTTTTCTAAACTACAAGGACCAAATTTATACTTTAAACCCAATTTTACAATTTATTTTTCAAAAAAATAATATAATTAACAATAAAACTCTTTAATTGGACTATAATGGTAAATTTGTGAGAAATTGTGGCATAACAATAAAAAAAATTGGGTTTTTTTTATAGAACTTTTATGATATTAGTCATTTTCACACCCTTTTTTTTTTTTTTTTTAAGATTGATGTAATTGTCTTGGTTTTGATCCCATTTAGTCACTAAGATCCCTAAACTATAAATATGTTGTTAATAAAGGGTACCCCTTGTTTTTTTAAGATTGATGTAATTGTCCTCAAACGACTGTTTTGATCCCATTTAGTCACTCAGATTCCTAAACTATAAATGTCTTGTTAATAAAGGGCATATAAACTCTATTTTCCAGGTTCACTAGTAATGTTGCAGTGGATATGTACACCCGGACTCCACATGACAATATTAATTATTTTTATTTCTTTAAAAATTGGGAAAAAATGTATCAACCCTATAATCCACGATCAACATTTATGTCTTAATGAACATAAATGAACAATGAGATAATTTCTTAAGTGAACAAGAATTTTGTTCATTTATATGTTTGTGTTTGATTGTTTGTTCAGATAAGTTAAACGAACGAATATTGACAAATCATTGTTTGTATCCATTTAGTTGGTTTACAACCATACTAATAGCTAAAAATCCCTTCGTTTTCACCTTTAAATCAATACATATTGTGAATGTGGGTCACTTGGCCCATATAATTTTTTTTATACAAGTAATATATAAAATTTAGTTATGGACTACCTAAATTTATTTTTATACAACTAACATATAAAATTTAGTTATCAACTACTTAAAATTTTATAAATGCCCTACCTTAGTTTCATTGACAAATAAGTTAATGTAAATCATAACATTTAAAGCCATATTCTATATCTTACTAGCCTAAATACTTAATTTTTCATTAAGAAAATAACCCAATATAATTTTTGAGTTATAGTTTATGTTACATGTTGAAAATTTCGTTTTAGATAATATTATTAATGATATAATTGTCAAAAAAAACTCAAGATATTAGACCTTGTATATACCTAAACCCATTTCCGCTCCCGTTTTGATCCGTTGAAATCCTTAAAAATGTCTAAACCTAAACCCATTTTATTTGGGCTAAATATATATTTATGGGCTACTATTGTTTTTATATGAATTTGTGAACGACCCATATAGCTTTGGACTTTTGTCCCAATTTCCAGTCCCCCACTAGTAACCCATTTTTTATTAATATTAATGTTAATATTGTATTATAATAATAATTGATTTAGTTCTTAATGTTTGTAATCAAAATTTGATTAAATCCTCGAAGTTACAATCACAATTTACTTCGGCCCATTATCGGATTTCACTTAAGTAATGTTTGATTTTGTGAAGCAAAAATTCATGAAGTTTGCGGACCATCTCTGTAACCTTCTGCAGTAGAAGAGGTGGACCAAACGGCTGCAGACTGTAATAAAAAGTGTGTTTGTTTTTTTAACATCTACATACTGCTGCAGATGTTAAAAATTTAAAATAAACTAATTTTATACACTGAAACTAATTTTTTAATACAGAAAATTTAATAATGTATAACATTTCGGTAAAAATGAATGATATTTCAATAAAAAAAATAATGATATTTCAACGAAAAAAATAAAGATATTTCAGTAAAAAATAATGATATTTGATCAAAAAATTATTGTTATTCAAAATAAAAAGAATGAAAAAAAAATTCAACAAGAAGAAACAAAAAAAAAAGAAAAAAAAAATTGAAATAAAATTTCAATAACATATAATCAAAATTTCAGGAAGAATAATAAAAAGAAGAAGAAGAGGTTCAAAGATGTTTGAAGAGGTTGGACGAGGCAGTCGAAATGCTGCACCAAACAGAGCACGCACATAGGTTTTTGAATCAAACAACTTCTAAAAAATGAACAGGTGCGAGATGAAAAAATGTTGTGCGTGTGCTGCATCACGCAACAATAAGAAGTCTGAAGAGATTTTTTCCAAAAAAAACAAACAACACTTTAGAAATTGTAATACGATTCTCAAAACATGCATATAACGTTTTGGCTATTTTATAAGTTGGGGAAACAAATTTAGCCTATTTTTATAAGTTTATTTTAAGATTTAGATAATATCCTTAGCCCAAAGGCCTGCGAAATGGGCCTTATGAGTAAAAACATATTATGTTCATCTTCATCGTTTATTTTTGTAAGTCACCAAAAACGCTCATTATGGCTCGATGGAAGTAAGTTTCTTCATGATGTATTGATTCTATTCTTATTTTCTTGTATAGATCTAATAATTGCACAGAAAGACGAGAAAATCCAATTTTCTTCTCTTTCTTAGCATGCTTTCAAACTCTAAGACATTATATATTTAATCCATTAAGTCACCTTTTTGATATAAATTATGTTAGTTCAAAGAATAATATCAAGAATCATTTGGATTACTAATAATCATTATTTATGTTATAGAAAGTTTGGTGGTGAGAGGTCAAAATACAATGTTTTTTTAACAAGAAAAATGACATTTTTGTATTGATCTGGTCGGGGCCAACCCCACGGCAAATCCAGCCATGTGGGGTTGGGTTCTAATCAAATCTCAAAAATGTTGTAAATTGACTTTGGCTCACTCCCTAAGCTATTTGTTGTTTCTATATAAGCTTCAAAATGGTATGAAAAATTATTAGATAAGTTAACCAACTTTAGAATGGTATTTTGGTAATTTTGTAACCTTTTAATGTTAAATGATGTGACGTGGTTCCACTCTGCGATGCTCTGCAAGATTTTATGATTTTGGTGAACCTACGAGGTCATAACGAGAAATGATCCTCAACTGTTGTCCGGGAGGGGGCTTCCGGGAAAACGCTCCGACGGTTAAGTCAGTGGATAGACTTGGAGTTGTATTGTGGGTAAACTGAGAGAGAATCACTTACCTACGAAGGCACTTGGAGTAGCCTTTTATACTAGACCTTTCTGCTAGTCCGTACGGGACAAGGGCATCAGACCTGACAAGATCGCGGACGCTGATTGGTGGATCGTGCTCCTTAATCTGTCAGAGCTAAGGATTGGTTCAGGCGGTAATGATCTGAGCATCTGCCTTGTCGACTGAGACCATTACATTTGTCCCGGGGTGGAGGCGCCCCTGGCGGGACCGAGCCTTTCTCCGTGGGCGCCCTGCTCTTATAGGTGCCGTCGGGCGCTATGTTCCGTCGGGCTTAGCCTACCGGGCGCGACATGCCTTGGGGCATTCTCTGCCGCAGCCAGGAGTGGCTTCTTTACACATGCTAGCGCACGTCATCAAGTCCCCTAGTCCAATAGTCATAACGTTGGTCAGCTATGATGTTCTGGACTTAACTGCTTGGTACACGCGCCAAGCTCTGATTCAATTGTCGCTTCAATTTTTACGGCGACGTGACTCCCCATTATGGCAGTCAATTACATCATCATGTTAGAGATTTTGAATATCCTGCCTTTCCGTATTCTTTATAAGGTCACAAAGTGTTCCCTAGTCAAGCCACTTCTTTCTCTTTTCTTTTCCTTTTTCTTTTAGGGTTTTTTCTTGGCTTCATGGTTGCTCTATCTGGTGCTATTCTGTCTGAGGTCGACTTCAAGCTTCTTGGCGATGCTTATCGCCTTTCTTCATCAGACGAAGTCAAGTTTCCATCACCGGAGTCGAGGATCTTATCTCCTCCACCGGGCAAGGTGGGTGTCTACTTGAAAATACTTGACGCCGCTCATCGTCTTCATGTCACAGACTTTCAGGAGGAAATTTTGTAGAAGAATGGGTGCAGCATCCAAATGCTCACTCTGAACGCTGTTAATAAGGCAGTGGTGTTCGAAATGATCTGTCCAGCCAACGATCCGCTTCCTGATTACTTCGTCTTTAAGTATTTCTTCAGGTTTTGTGCTACTGGAGACAAGTATACTTTCTCCGTTCGGCGAGGGGTGTATACTTTAGTTTCTGGCGGTAAAACCCCCAAGAACTGGCAAGATAAATGGTTGTGGGTCAACCGTGATCTACTTGGCAATAGGCGATACCGAGCAAACAATTTTGCTGATGTTGCCCCTAAGTTATATCCTTACAACAGGCCATCGCAGATCTCCTGAGGAGTACTCAAGTTGCACCTGAGGAATACTCTGAGGTATTGCTTACTGGCATCGGAATGAGCCCTTCTTGGAGGCGTTGGGGGGATATATCCATATTTTATATTGTTATTGATGGTGAGTGGTTCTACTATTCTTCCTTATCCTCCCCTCCTTTTTTTTTGAAAAAGGGGAAGTTGAATTATCTACTTGGTTATTACTATTCTTGATTTTCCTTTTCTTTGATAGGCATTGAATCCCCACTTTCGATGGATGAGGGTTTGCGGAAGTGGCATCGGGGGAAGTTGGAATATCGAGAAACTGATCTGGTTGAGACACTTCCCCCTCCTCACCGGGCTGATCGACTCATTGTGATTGCTTCTCTGGTATCGCCGACTATAGAGGGATCTCCGGCAACCGTCAGAGAACCACCTTTGGCTGTCCGACCTATCTCAACGGTTGCTCCATCTCCTGCTACTGGTTCTTTCCATATGGAGGTATCGAGGATAGGAAGGATGACATCATTTCTGACGTTCGATAGGCAACTGCTAAGAGGAAAGCCATCTTGTCCATGGGGGTGACATCCACCGATGTTTTTAACATGGGGAGGTAGGTTCAGTCGGGCGCAACTTCACTCGTTTGGTGAACTCGATCTCCTCCATTCCGAAGGCAGTTGTTGTGATCCCTGATGACGACTTGCACCAGTCTGAGGGGGATCAAGAGGCGATCAAGCAACCCGTAGTTCCTGTTCAATCTGTTCCACAATCTTCTTCTGATCTTTCCCCCTAGAGGTCCCAATGGTGCTGAGCTACATCAAACCCCACCTCGCGAGGGGGTCCTTGGGGGTAGTTCTGGTTCTAATGTTTTTATTCCTACTTGGAGTTTGCAACATGAATCCTACTTGTATGTCCGTACCAACATTGTGGAATATTCTTGTTATGCGTTCCCGTCCGCTGTTATCGCCGATATGGAAGCTATGCGTAGCCATGCCTTGTCCCATAATATATCTTACGTTGCTGCCTAGGCTATGTTCTATCTTCTCGCTGGTGCTCGCCGAATCCAACTACTCGGTGAGATGGAGGTTGTCCATGTAGGGTGTAGTGCCCAGGAAACTAGCCTGTGACGTCGGATTGTTAAGATCGAAAATGATGTTCGTGGTTTTGAATAGAGGTGTGTTCTGCTTGCTTCATAGAGCTACTGCGGAAGAGATCCGATCTGCCCTAGAAGCCAAGGTAGATTCTCTGACTCAGGCCAACGAGGGGCTCGTGATTCAGAATGAGAGTTTGGAATGTGATGTCTGCGACCACGATAAGCTCCTCGTGGAGGCTCGAGCTGAGGCGGAGGCTGCTAAGTGTGATCGGGATTGGCTCTTACGCATGGGGGTCGTACGCATTATGGGCAAACAGATTGAACATCCGAACTTTACTGGTGCTGTGAGTCAGATCATGCGTGTGGTGTTTGTTGCCGGAGAGGAGTCCTGACGTAACGTGTTAAAAGCTGAGGTGGATTCCGGCTCCTATGAACCTAATGCCAGCGACTCCGGGTCCAACCATACTACGAGCCTTAACGATGTCCTTCTTGAATTTGCCACTATGGATCATGGATCTCTCCTACGGTTGGTTAATGTGGACATGGAGAGTATGCAGCAGCTTTGCGTTCTGGGAGGTTGATGAAATTCCTGATGGCATGCTGATTGATGGAGTTGGTGGTGGTGGCGAAGACAATGGTGGTAGCGGCGATGGTGATGATGTTGGTGTTGTGGCGGGGAACGATGCTAGTGGTGGCGGCGATGATGATGGTGGTGTGGTGACGAGAAGCGATGTTGCTGGTGCTAGCCCAGTTAGTTGTTAAGGTACTTTATGTACCGTGTGCTACACCTTAGGGGTGTGAAAAAAAACTTGAAGCTATTGTAATATGTTGTCGTATTTCTTGATAGTACTTCATAGTGGTGGCCTTCCTGGCCTTGTTTGTAATAACTCTTTTTTTTTTTGCAATATGAATGGTACTCGTTGTGTTCGTTTTATTTTCTTTTAGGCATGTGTTTTTGCTTTTGACCCTTGTTTTCTATTGCTAGGTGATAGGTGATTGCTTCCTATCGCTAGGTACGTGTTTGATCTCGTAAATGCATTAAGTATTTTGATTTGATTTCTGTTCTAAGCCATATAAATACACTGAGTATTTTAAGCTTGGTGGTTGTTCTGAGCCTTGTAAATACACTGAGTTTTTAAGTTTTATGGTTGTTCTGAGCCTTGTAAATACACTAAGTATTTAGGTTCTATGGCTGTTTCTAAGCCTTGTAAATACGCTAAGTATTTTAGTTATATGGTTGTTATGAGCCTTGTAAATACGCAAAGTATTTAAGTTTTATGATTGTTCCGAGCCTTATAAATACACTAAGTATTTAGGTTCTATGGCTGTTTTGAGCCTTGTAAATACGCTATGTATTTAAGTTTGGACACACTGAGCATTTTAATAGGAAAGCCACTCAAATACACTAAGTATTTTAAGAAAACGGTTGTGCTTAGTCGTGCAGTACATTGACTACTTTGTAAAAAAAAAAGAAATAAAGTTGCATGCCTAAGTGCACCGAGTCTCTGGCATCCAGCGTCCCTCGGGCGATTAATCCGGGCGATGCGTTAGAAGTGGAATTTCCTCAGGTTTCTGACATTCCATGTTCTTGTAGTTTTCTTTCCTTCCATCGTCTTGAGCACATATGCACCATTGCAATTAGCTTCAATGACCTTATATGGCCCTTCCCAAGTGGGGCCAAGCTTTCCCTATGGTTGCGTGTGGCTTGCCTTATTTAGACTCAACATGTAATCCCCCACATCGAAAGCTTTCTCCTTGACCCTTTAGTTATAATACCTTTCCACGATATGTTTATAGGCTACATGTCGGATATTCGATCGTCCATACTTCTTTTCGATGAGATCTAAGTTTTCTCTCAGAGCTTCGTTATTGTTTGCTTCTTCAAAATAGGTCGTTTAGAGCGACCCCACCGTAAATTCTACCGGGAGCATTGCCTCCGTGCCATAGGTCAGGCTGAAAGGAGTTTCTTTTGTGCTCACTCTTGGCATCATCATGTACGACTAGAGCACGCTTGGTAGCTCTTCGACCCAGTTTCCCTTAGCTTTCTTCAAGCGCTTCTTAATTCCATTGACCAACATTCTGTTTGACACTTCTATTTAGCTATTATCTTGGGGGAGTGCTACTAACGTGAATTGCTATTTGATTCCCTTGTCTGTGCACCAATCTCGGTACAGATTATCAACAAACTGTAGGCCGTTATCACTGATGAGTATCTTTGGTATTCCAAATCTTGTTATAATATTTTTCCACAGAAAATGTATCATCTGTCTCCCTGATATGGACGCTAATAGCTCAACTTCTATCCATTTTGTGAAGTTATCTACTGCGACTACCAGCTATTTTACCTTGCCTGGGGCGTCCGAGAACGGCCACATAATGTCTATTCCCCACTGATAGAAAGGACACGAACTGGAAATACTCGTCAAAGACATTGGGGGTTCCATTAGATTGGAGAGTAAGTAAGAAACTCTATACACTTTCGTGTCACTTCCAATGCATCCAGATGTATGGTTGGCTAGTAGATACCCATTCGAAGTATTTTTCTTGTTAGGGCTCTTGCCCCTTCGTGTGCACCTACCGGGCCGACATGTGTCTCTCGAAATGCCTCCTTGCCTTTGGCATCATCCACACCTTTTAACCATGGTGACATGAATCCTTTCTGATACAATACTATGTCCTTTATTGCATACATTAGTGCTTTGATCCGTATTCTTCTAGTTTATTCATTGTTGTCTGGCAGAATACCATGCTGCAGGTATTTGACTATCGGTGTCATGCATCTGTGTCTGGCCGATGCTAGAGCGTGCACCCGCTATTCCTCTATACTTCTCTCTCTAAGCACTTGAACAAGGACCTTCTTGGACAAGTGATTGAAGCATGTTGATGCTAATTTGATTAGGCCGTCTTCTATTCTGTTTTCTTATCTTGGGATCTGTCTGATGGTAAACTCTTTGAGGGGCTCGACAAGCCGCTGTACAACTTTCACATATTTCTCCATTTATTTGACTTTCGCTAAAAATTCTCCGTTGATCTGGTTAGCAGCTAATCTTGAATCTGTTAAGGCTACTATTGCTTCTGCGCCCATTTGCTTTGCTAATCGTAGGGCGATTAGCAAGGCCTTATACTCGACTTCGTTGTTTGAAGTGTGGAAGTCGAAGCGGAGGGAATAAGTGATCTCTTCCCCTTCTAGGCTTGTCAAGATCAGGCCTACCCCCGATCCTTTTTTACTGGATGCTCCGTCAGTATACAAGGTCCATTTTTGGTCATACCCGACTGGTTCGTCCCCAATGAGCCTTTTATCTGAGTTACGATTTCCCTCTCGCCTGGAATTTCGAGTAGGAAGTCTGCTAGTGCTTGGCCTATAATTCTGGTACGTGGGCGATAGCTGATATCATGCTCCCCTAGTTCAATTTCCTATTTTTCCAATCATCCGGATGTCTCTGGCCTGAACAATATTTATTTGATCGGGTAGTTTGTTAACACCTTTATCTGATGTGGTTGGAAGTAGTGTCTCAAGCGACGCGTTGCATAAATGAGTGCTAGCACTAGCTTTTAGATAATAGGATAATTGATTTCTGGAGCCTACAACGTTCATCTAACAAAATAAATTGGTGCTTGCCTGCATTCCCTTTCCACGACTAGAGCTGAGGATATGGCTTCGTCCGAGGCTTAGAGGTATACATGTACTGTTTCTCCTGGGACTGGACTAGCCAATGTGGGTAACTTGTGCAGGGCCTCTTTGATCTGCTGGAGTGCTGGTTTTGCTGTTGTTGCCTACTGGAAATTGTTCGTTTCGATGCACCATTTGAGGGTGTAGAAGAGCGGCAGGGCCTTTTCTGATGATTTAGAGATGAAGCGGTATAGCACAGTTAACTTATCATTTAGTCCCTGGGCATCTCGCAAGGTGTTCGGGGATGGAACCTCCTTGAATTCAT